TGGGATTCTGCTAAAGCACTACTTAAAAAGAAATTAGGTCCCTGAAAGTTATATTGGACTCCCTAGAATCAAAACACAAACTTAATTTTAGATGCAGAGTAACAGAATAAAGTGTATGGGTTGATTCAAAAAATATATACTGAGCACCTAATTTCAGCCAGACACTATTTGGGGACCTAAAAATCAAGCAAACACCACAAAAGTAAGACTCCCTATTCTTAAGGGATTGATATTGTAGCAACGGATATAGGTAACAAACATATAAGATACTTTCAGATATTAATGAGAAAATAAAACAGCAATTTAAAAGAGAAAGGCCAGAGAAGATCTCTATGAAGAGATGTGAGCTGAAACCTGAATAAGGAGGAGCAGGCCATTCAAAGATCTGGTCCCAGGGAAATAATGTTACAGGCAGAGATCAGCAAGTGTGAAGGCCCTGTAGATAGGAAGTATACAGGAGACATAGAAAACCAGTGTGGCTGGAGAAAGTTAAGTGAAGGAGGCATAATAGGATAATTATCAGTAAAGCCAGAGAGCAACATCAGAAAAGGCAGAATCAAGTAAAAGTTAGGTATATAGAAGACAGGCAAGCAGTTTAGTTCGACTGGAGCACAGGTAGATGGATGAGGACCGGGATTTGGCTAGAAAGGTACAGGTTGGTTTAGACTTGTACTCATGGTAGCCACTGTCTACATGTGGCTATTGGCTACATGTGGGTAGTACAACTGAAGGACTCAAGTTTTAATTTGATTAATTCAAATTAATTTAAATTTGAATTTAAATTTTAAAACTTTTAAGTATTTGGGAAGAACTTGGGTATGTGAATCTGCTGTTTCAACTGTAGATTTTATGATATCTCAATATAGATCAAGTATTTCCAATTAAAATGTCAAATCTGGATTAAGATAGGCTGTAAATAAAGTTGCCCACTGTATAGGTTTTAGCACTTAAGTCATATATCCCAGGGTCACCTTAGCTATAATATATACTCCAGATTTTTGAAGTATGTAAAATAACATTTTTAAAGACAGGTTCAGATAATTTGAATATATAAGGTTAAACATATTAAAATTAATTTTACCCATTTTATACTTTTTTTAGTGTGGCCATTAGAAAACTATTAATTACACAACTGACATATTTCTCTGAAATAGCACCTGTCTAGATAAAGGCAGGCCTTGAAATCCAACTTGAATTTCACTATTATTTAGTAGGAAATAGTCACTGAGATTTCAAAATTCCACATTAGTTTTTTTTTTTTTTTTTTTTTTTTGTCAAGAGAAGTATGGCAACATTTGGAACTATAAAAATAGTACTGCCCTTTAAAAGCTGTATTTTTAAATCACTTCAACAAAATGAAGTCACCAAAAAAAAAAAAAAAAAAGAAGAAAAAGAAAAAGGCTTTCAGGCCAAATGACTTGATTACAGTTACACAGGCTGTCTAACATAAAGCCTCAAACAAATTTCTAGTTTTGAGTGTAAGATAAACCATTTAAGAACAGTTCAAAACTGTTCTTAACAGTTGACAAAAGTCAACTTTAGCATGTATTCCTTCTTTCGACAGCCGCAGGTTTCTAGACCTATACAAAATCTCATTTTTCTACAAACTAGGAAAATTTCTAATCAATATCAAACAATCACAGACAATGGCAGGACATTTTAAAAGTTAATTCTGTTTTGTGGAGAGGAGAGATTCTCAAAGACAGTCCCCTCTTGCCCTTCCTCCAACAATGTTCTGCAGTAGACAAAGAGAAGTCAGAGGGATCATTTTGCCTTATTTTGTCAATTATAGGACATCTTATCTAGCACCATAACTGGCTTCCTGCTCCCCTCCTCTAGTGCAGTCAGCCCTGTGTATCCACAAGCTCTAAATCTGTGGATTAAACAAACTGCAGACAGAAAATATTCAAAAAAAAGTAAATAATAAAAATACAGTATAACAACTATTTAGATAGCAATAACATGGTATTTGGTATTAAAAATAATCTAGAGATGATTTAAAGTACATGGAAGGGTATGAGTAGACTGAATGCAAATATTATGCCATTTTATATATATGGGATTTGAGCATCTGTGGATTTTAGTGTCCACAGGGGTCCTGAAACCAATCCCCTGCAGATACCATGGGACAACTGTAATCTATAATTTGGGGAATGTCATCACCAGCCAAATAGCTACCCAAACCAGAAATGTGATGGTCATATTAGATTACACTTTAACTTCACATCATTGAAACACTTTCTCAAATTCTACCTTCTTAATTTAGTTCAAATTTTCCTTTCTACTTCACCCCATCCCCAATCCCCATCTAAGGGCCACACAGGTAAGTATGGCAGAAATGGGATTAACCATTTGGACTCGCTAGGTCATCTAACCCAAGGTCATGGTTCTAACTCCCAAATTGTACCTCCCTCAGACAGTTCTCAAAATATCTCAGAAATGTATATCCCCCTTCACTTGCTAGAAACAACCACCTAAATGTTTTGTAGGCAGGTCAAACTCAACATAGCCAAAACCCCAATTTATCATTTTTCCTATCCAATCTGTTCCTTAAAATGTTGGGATTTTAGATTTCCCATGCTAAATAATTAGATATCAGTTTCTCTCTCAATAACTAATCAAGTCTTTCCCATTTTCTTATTCTTCAAATCTTTTCTCTATTTTTCATGTCAATAAATCCGTATCATCCATTTCTCACCTAAACTCCCCTTAATATCCAACATCCAATCTTCATGTGACCTACAAAGACTTCCATGGTGTAACCATTGCCTACCCCTCTTATCTATTTATGTCCTTAAGCTTAGTGATTCAGTCATAAGAAACTGCTTGCGGTTTTGTTTTTTTGTTTCGAGTGAGTCTTGCTCACCAAGGCTGGAGTGAAGTAGTGTGATCTTGGCTCACTGCAACCTCCACCTCCCACATTCAAGCAATTCTCATGCCTGAACCTCCTGAGTACTTGGGACTACAGGTACGTGCCACCATGCCTGGCTAATTTTTTTTTTTTTTTTTGTATTTGTAGTAGAGACGGGGTTTCACCATGTTGGCCAGGCTGGTCTTGAAATCCTGGCCTCAAGTGATCCGCCCACCTCGGCCTCCCAAAGTGCTAAGATTATAGGCCTGTGCCACTGTGCCCAGCTGATTTATTTTATTTAGATATGGGGTCTCATTCTGTCACTCAAGCTGGACGCAGTGGCATGATCATAGCTTACTGCAGCATTGAACTTGTGGGCTCAAGCAACCCTCCCACCTCAGCCTCCCAAGTAGATGGGGACTAGGAAGTGTGAGCCACCACGCCCAGCTAACTCTTTTTCTCATTTAGAGATGGGTCTAAATGTTGCCCAAGGCTAGTCTTAAACTCCTGGCCTCAAGTGATCCTCCCGTCTCAGCCTCTCAACTAGTTGGGATTACACACATGAGCCAACACACCCAGTTCTGCTTTTAGTTTGTGCATAAACTGGGTTGTTTCTCATCAATATTTGTTCATGTGCTCTCTATACCTATATTGCCCTCTTTCCAGTTTCAGGAGCATTCTCAGGTCTCCAGTGTCTACCCATGAAAGAAAAAGTAAATCTGAGTTACACAGGCTCTGCTGGTTTTAAAATCTAAGAATCAATAAAATGTGTCTATCCTGTTACCCCTAGTAGAGGTTCTCAGGCATAGAAAACCACCATGAGAATGCATTTCTAGTCATAAAGTTTAACCAATGGGGCTTAAATGTCAAGAGCATTCTGGACATTCAGTTTATTTAAAGCACAACTCTGGTTCCTAATCATCTCAGTTCTTAAGTATCTGTTCTTCAGCATCCTTCCCAAAAGAGTGATTGCCAAAATTCTGCTTGATTTAGCACCCTGTATGAGTCAGCTGGAAAAAGTGACTTGCCAAGGTAACTCTAGGGAAAAAAAAAAGGCAAAAATGCCATGGAGGGGACTTACAATAATGTGATGTCAAGAGGAGCAGGGAGGAAGAACTGCAAGATAAATCTTATTAAAGGAAATGTTCTGGGCACACGACACATCAAAACACAGTCCACTTGGAAATCATAACTTACCAAACTGTGAATACAAGGAAAATATAACAAAATCCAACATCAGCCTTCAATATTCACAAGATATTCATGAATCTACATACCAATGAGTATTGATTTTATAATTACACAGATCACATTCCTTTTCATGAGCTCACCACAGTAATAGAAGGGAAATTTTATCATTGTATCTATACTAATTGTATACTAACTATAATTAATTGTATCTATACTAATTAAGAGTGTTCAACTGAATTAAAATAGGGCTCAGTTGTTGCCTCACCTGCCCTGAAGTCTTCTCTCTATATTAAGATGCATAAGGTGCCTTTCTTTACTCGCAGAATTCCTCTGCCTGTTTCGCTCTCACTGTATTGTCCACATTATCTTTTATCTGCTCTGTGTTCTTCCTCTAGACTGTGACCATCTTGAGGACTGGGTCATGTGTTTTTCATCTTTGTATCCCTAACGCGTAATAGTACTTGGCATTTGTTAGTAATCAATAAGTGTACCACATGACTGACTAATCTAGTCTTCTTTTTGCTTGATTAACATATCAAAAAGTCTAAACCAATGCTAAAGTAACTAACTAGCCTATGAACTGTTTGTTAATAGTTTATAATGCAATAGAATTCAAGCCAGAATGTTAAAAGAAAAAGAAATGCTTCCTTTTAAAGAAAGTCTTGCTTGAAAAAGTATCTAGCAGAACTAATGCTTTGTGATGCAGCTGATTGACATTCTTGCCCCATTTTGGTTCAAATACTTGAAAGTTGGATGACAGACATTTTCATGAGAAAAAATAAAATGCTAAGGGGATGGGTAGTTAAAATTAACTTTATGGTCTTCATTCATCTTTATAAGCACAAATATTCATAGACTGTCAAACTGATTTAAACTAAAGACACCTATTTTCAAGGGTAAAAAATAAATACAGACACAGGGCACTTAAAAAGTTTTTAAAAAGCCAAGACACATAAAAAAAAAAAACTAATAAATTTTTAATTAGAATTTTTTCCTTTTTTTTAACAGGACAAGTAACAGATTACATCAAACTTCAGAACTTCTCAAATACCTAGTTATTATACACATTCCCATCTGTCTTGCAGGGAGGGATCTTGGTCGGCTTAACAGTTTCAGGTAAAATAAGTTGCATAATAGTATATATTACAATAATAAATGTACAATGTTTACATGAAATATGTTTTAGAAGCAAGAAAAAGATGCATCTGCATCAAAGGCGACCTTTTAAAATGCCACAACTATTTTTTACATTCACTCTTGCAACAGGTTACAAGATGGGGGTCACTAAGCTCAGATAAATCACTAAGATGCACATAAAATACAGGAAGATTGGTTACTTTATATATTATATATATTTATATTTTCACACGTTAGCATCTGAGACATAAACTGAGAATTTAAAATTTATTCTCTTCAGATAACAAATCATTTTTTATTCTTCATAAACAAGGTGCCCACAAAAGCACATAGGTAAGGCACAATAGGGCTTTCTGTTACAGAATAGTGTGCATCATGTTTACTTAACCAGAAAACGTGCATTATCTGTGCAAGTTCATGCTGCAAACCCAACGCATACAATAAAACGAAAAGGAAACTGAGCTTTAAATAAAACCAAAATTGGTACAATTCCAGCTGCTTCACATATTCATTTGGACTGACAATTATATATCAACAGGTTATTTTTAAGAAGCCAATTGTAGATTACAAGTAAAATTTACTCAGCAACTATTTTTATCTGAAATCATAAACAGTAATAAAGTAAGTTTACTGAAACAAACTAAATACTGAGGCACAAAGCAACGGTCAATCGTGCATTTACTATACTGCAAACTTTCATGACCCAAAATTGCAAGTATAATTTGTCAAATACACATTCTGCTGCAACAATGTGCCCTGCTTTAAACTTGACATACAACAGAGGCACTAACATATCATTAAATTATAAATAGATTGGGAAAATGACTTAATCCCAATGGTACTATGTCACAGCCCTGGTATCTATAATAAATACAGCTTTTCACAAAATATTTTTCCAATATCTGCCAATTTCTTCTTTATTGCTCACATAAATTTAAATCTATTACAACTGGTATCAGAACTTTCACACAAAATCATACTCAGACATTTTTATATAAAACCTATAAAAGATATTTTAAACTTGTATCTAATACTTCCAGGTGTTTGGCTGTTTGATCTATGCAAAAGTACAGCCATATGTGTATATCTGTGTGTGTGTATATATATACATCTATATATATACACACACATACACACATACATATATACATACACATTAGATTATGAATAAAATAGAAAGCTTATTTTACTGCTTTAATGCAGACATCTTCACAAAACAAGACTACTTTCACCACCACCAGCATTTATACATATATACAAAGCCAGTTTAAGTACATATACATCCACTTACACATATTTGTAACCACTGAGCCCAAATTAATTTTCCCATATTCCAGCTGTAGCAAATGAATCACTTATAAGCAACAGAAACCTAAGGTTAAATTGGGAAATCAACAGTTTTACCACATTAGCCTGTAGGAACTATGCAGGTGACTGCATACAAAAATTCACAACATTAGTTCACAAGAAAGTATGGGACTACAAGAAGCCTTTTCATCATGCTTTTGTGTGGTTATCCAAACACTTCTTGGTGCAAAAATACAACCACCACATCTGAAAATGCTTAATAAAGTCAATGTTCCTCATGCAAAACTTTAAATGCATTGGCTTAACTGAGCTCCAAAAACTGAATGAAATAATTATCCTACCTACTCAGCATTGCTGCCTCACTGCTAAATCCCTTTGGAACCTTAAGACTTCTGGAACGTTCAGAGATGTATTCATCAATAAAAATATTACATACAAAAAGCACTTAAAAAGGAAGACAAAAAGCCAAACAGGAATTTTCCTATTGTAAGTAACAGTCTTAGAAATGGAAGGAAATCTTTTCAGGAACTTCCTTGAGAATTGGTTAGGCCAGTCCGAAGACGAAGATGAGACATAGAGTTCATATGTTTATTTGATGGCTTCAATGGAGTGTTGGAAGTGAGAGCCTGGGGAAAGCGATGGTGGTATCTATCTAGCCGTAAATATTTTACTGTAACCAATTTCCCTGTTGTAAGATAAAAATAATATTTTAGATCAGTAAAACTGTTTAATAGTTGCAGAAAATTAACTGTGGTAAAAGACATATGAGCACAAAACATAACTAAAGTCATCTAAAATTATTACTCAAAAAAATGCTAACCTAAATTCTTTTACTTGAAATCTGGTATAGTTTAAAATTAAACTATAACTATCTTTTCAAAATGTTTATAATACTCAAATTTCTTACCATCAAACCAAGAGCCATGCAATGCTTTAAAAGCCTTTCCAGCATATTCTGGAGACAGACATTTAACATATACACAACCCTGGGATATTAAAAAAGAAAGAAAATAGTCTTAGTTTAATAGCAACAAATCCAAAACATGAAATTCAATACTAAAAGTTACTTTACCTCACGTGAATTTTTGTCTACTGCAATGTGAACAATGCCATCATTATCACTGCATTTTTCTAAAATTGCTTCTTGAATTGCCAAATGCCACTGATCCCCTATTTCCCTAAAAGTTAATGAAAACAAAAATCAACAACCATATTCCTACTCGGTAAAAATTCTTCATTGTCTCTTACAACATATATATACTACTAGAATTGGGATAGTTTTAAAACCACATATGATTTTAATTGGTATTAAGTAAATGTTTGTTGACTAACAGGAGGTGGATTTCAAAATAATAATTCAGAAGTCTCAGCCCTCCTCTCACTTTCCAGTAAAAGAGTGCAGAGAACTGGCCGGGTATGGTGGTTCATGCAACCCCAGCACTTTGGGAGGCCGAGGCAGGCAGATCACGAGTTCAGATTGAGACCATCCTGGCTAACATGGTGAAATTCCGTCTCTACTAAAAATACAAAAAAAATAAAATTAGCCAGGCGTGGTGGTGGGCACCTGTAGTCCCAGCTACTCGGGAGGCTGAGGCAGGAGAATGGCGTGAACCCAGGAGGTGGAGCTTGCAGTGAGCCTAGATCATGCCACTGCACTCCAGCCTGGGCGACAGAGTGAGATTCTGTCTCAAAAAAAAAAAAAAAAAGGAGTGCAGAGAGCTGAGGCAATAAAAGACTAGCCCACCGCTGCAGAAAAAATGGATTGGGTCATTCCTACGTTTAAAAATCCTGTGTACTTACAATTATTTCTGTTTTCTTTCTAGTGTTAATAAGTACTTTAAATGAGTTGTGAACTTATTAAAGTTGTAAAAGTTAAATGTTATTTATTTATTTTGAGACAGAGTCTTGCTTTGTCACCCAGGCTGGAGTGCAGTGGCGTGATCTCGGCTAACTGCAACATCTGCCTCCCAGGCTCAAGCCATCCTCCCACCTCAGCCTCCCAAATAGCTGGGACTATAGGCGCATACCACCAATCCTGGCTAATTTCTTTTGTATTTTTTGTAGAGACAGGGTTTTGCCATGTTGCCTAGGCTGGTCTCGAACTCCTGAGCTCAAGTGATCCACCCACCTCGGCCTCCCAAAGCACTGGGATTATAGGTGGGAGCCACTGTGCCCGGCCGAATGTTATTTTCTTTAATTGTAATGATATGTTCAAATTCCTAAAGAAAAATCTTAGTAAATACTATATTTGAGCTTCTCTTTTCCAAAATAATGATACAGGACTAACATTTTGTACAGTCACCTCACTATAACGACACTTCTAAGGTTTTTCTGCTGTAGTAACGGACATTTGTCTTGCTTGTGAGACAAAGATGGTGGGAGAGAGAGGAAAGTGACTTCACTTTAAATCACAAATTTTCACCTTAGGTAATAAAATAGTGGACTTGCGAGTTCCTAAGATACAAGGTGAGATTTCCAACAGAGGTATCATCATACTGCTAATTGTTTCTATCTCTGCAAAATTAGAGGCAGTGTCTCTGTGTGTGTGTGTGTACGTGCGCATGCAAACAAGTGTGCATACTGCTTCCTCACATTTCCAATTTTGCTGTCACTTATTTGGAATTTCATCAATGAGTGATGAGACTCTGGGGGTATTTTATACATACTGTAATTACCACTGCCGGGACTTTTAAAACAAAAAGAATTTGATCTGTAATATCACTCCACTGTCGAGACTTTTAACAGAATTTGATCTGTAATATCACTGCATAGATAAGCAGTACCCTCAGGAAGCTAACTGTAAGAATTATTACAGCTTATATATGAAATACTATGAATTCTAAGGTAGTCACTTTTGACTGTGCTATTCTCTGGAAGCATGTTGTTTGAATTATAAAGTCTGAGTTGTTCTTCAAATATTACATTGACAAGTGGAGACAGGACTTTGTAGAGAAGCAGGTGTATACATCTTTACAGGAAACGTTTTACAATTTGAGATTTGAAATTTTTAAGAAGCAGTGATTTTTTCATCTATATTTTCTACTGAGGCAAAAATATTGACAGTCATGTATAATGACATGAGTCATTAATTTGCCTCAAGCATTTATCTATTTATCTGTTATGAGGATTCATAGGGAATACAAAGATTTATAAAAGTGTTACAAATCTTTATACATTAGTGTCCTTTGGCCAAATCTTTGCTTGGAATTTAATGAAAGAGAAAAACATAACATTTCTGTAGTAGAGATTCAGAAGAAAAACATTATCAATTACAGACACACCATTATGAGAATATCATGCATTTTCCAGCCAAATATTCAGAATAAGAGTTACATGTACCCCTGATCATAATACTTACATAACGGGATCAAACATATTCCGAATCTTTAGACACGGTGTCAAACTATTTGGCGGTGAATTTCTTCTATCTAAATGAAATGCTACAAAAAACAAGTTAGATTTACTATTTGTCATTGTTCCAATTTGTTGAAAGGTATTCACTTATTCAGTTCATTCGAAAAATATTCACTGCATGCTTTTACTAGGAGCCAGACCCCTGGTTAGATGTTAAGGTGAATAAGACAGATAGTCATTGCTATCAAAGAGTTTACAGTTTAATGGGAGAGACAGATGATAAAAAGTATCATGCAAGAAAGTACCACTGTGATTATTAAGTCCTAAGAAAGGAAAGTATAGACAGCTTTTTAAAAGTAACTTAACCTCATATGAGAAAATAAAAGTTCCCTGAAAAAGTGACATTTATGTGGGAACTGAAGAGTAAAAATTAGCAGGGTGAAAAGAAGTGTGTAAAGGAAAATTTCAAGCAGAGGTGACTGCTTGTACACAGCTCCTGGGGCAAGAAGGAGCAAATGTGGCTGGAGTAGTAAGAATAGAAAGATAAATCTACAGAAGATGTCAGATTATTTAAGATGATGTAGGCTACAAAAAAGTATTTGGGCATTATCGTGCAAGAGTAATAGAAAGCCACTCAAGTGTTTTTAAGGAGAAGAGCATGAGATCTGTCTTTTAAAACTACAAATTTTAAAATACATTGTTATGTGGAGACTCAGGTAAAAGCAGAAGTGAATGCAAGGTGACCAGTTAGAAGGTTATTATTATATTATAGTTGTCTAAGAAGGAGAGGATAATGATGTGGGTAAGACAGGCCAACAGTGCAGGTGACAAGTGGATAGAATCAGGGCATATTATGAAGTAGACATGACATGACCTGTTGAAAGATTGGACAAAGAGGGATAAAGGAGAGATTAAGAATTACCCCTAAGTTTATGCAGAATCAACTCAGAAAAGGTATCATTAACTAGACTAGGAACACTGGAGAGATCAGGCTGGTGTACATGTTGAATCTGTGGTGCCCACCTCCTAGTAGAGAAATACATAGTTTGGTACAAAAATCTGAAAACCAGACTTCATTCAAAATAAAAAATTGGGGAGTTATCCCAATATGGTAAATTAAGTCACAGCAAGATGATCATCTAGGAAGAGATGGCACAGTGGGGAAAAAAAGATGGCCTTGAGAAACTCTAACACCTAGAGGTAAAGAAAAAGAGGATAATCTAGAAAAGGACTGCAGAAAAGTCTGAGGTAGGAGGAAAAAAAAAAAAAAGAAGAAGAAAGTGGCATCCCCAAATCCCAATGAAGAAAGTTTCAAGGAGGGCTGAACTGTCAAACACTGTTAAGAGGTCAAGTAAAATAAGGAATTCTCTATTTTCAATTTATAGGGAAACTGAAATGCATGCATCATTTAGAGGAAATAGTATAATCGTTGGCAACATCAAAGCATCATTTTTTAATTTAAGTTCTGGGATGTATGTACAGGACATGTAGATTTGTTACACAGGTAAACGTGTGACATAGTGGTTTGCTGCACCTATCAACTCAAACCCATCACCCAGGTATTAAGCCCTGGATGCTTTAGCTATTTACCCTGACAGAGCATCACTTTTATGCCATGTTTAAAGAAGCCTCTTTTTCAAGCTTTTTCAAAGCGAAATTTAATTGGAGAATAAAAAAGGAATGACTGGACTTTGTATTGCATGTCCAAAACAACTTACTTACCTTTTCCACAAATACTGTGTTTAGCAAATATTGACATACTTTTATAGGAAAAAGTCATAATCTTCTGATGCACTGTTTTCTGCTTTTCTATGTAGCAAAGGTTTGGGTACATATGGCAGCCAATCTTCAAAACCCCCTACAAACTTATCCCTTCCTTATTTATACATGTTTTTGAAACTATGTAGGCATTAAGAAAAATATAGAAAGATACCCACAAAAGTTACTTGGCAGGACGGATATATAAATAGAAAGGTCTTAGTAAGAGGAGGCAGGCAAAAATTGGGAAAAAAAAAGAGCAGTTAAAAAGTTATAACTTCACTTATATACATACAAGTTATATATATTATACTGTATATATAACATAAATTATGTGTTATTTACACAAAGAAATTAGATGAAAAGAATGCAGTTAATATATATAATACTAAGTTGCTTTAAGTGAAATAGGCAAGATTCAAGGAATATTCATCTTTATTAAAGATAAACCATTTATGTTTGCATTAGCAAGGACAAAAGTGTGGAAGGATACTTAAGAAGCTAACACTGATTCCTTCTATGAAATGGAACCAGAAAGACAGCTTTGCCTTCATACATCTTTGAATTGTACTGTTTCACTTAACACATTTTTGTCATTTTGAAAAAGTGGAAGAATATTACTTTTTTGATGTTTACAAATACATACCTTGACCTTGCCATACTTTAGAAGGTATAACTAATATTTTGTCACAGGATGCAGAAGGCTGGATCCACCGCCAAACCAGAAAATCTGCACCACCTATTCTTCGTGTTTCCGTGCGAACTCTAGACTCATTAGCAGCAAGGAAGTCAACAGCTCTATCCCAGACTTTCTTCATTTTTTTCCTATCAAGTGGACAAAATGGCAAATTTACTATCATCTTGGCTTATGTCATCTTTCTGAAATATTAGTATCTGAGGTAATGTTAACTCTAGCTGTTCTTACCACTACTCATGGAGTTTGTTCAAAGAAGATTTAGATGCCTATACCTCATCTCAGATTTACTGAGTTTCAATTTCCAGAGCTAGAGCACAAACATCTGTATTTTTTTTCCCCCAAAGCTCCACTGGCGATTATGTGCTGCTAGGGTCAAGATGCTGCTTCAGGATATGGAATTATCTATTATTTTCAAAAAGTTGTATTTAGTTTCTACTTTAAAAGCTTCATTAATAATAAAGTTAGTACTTAATAAACATTAGTAAAACACCAGCCACTGGCTATCATCTATTTCTTTATCAATATGAAATTAAAGGAAATAAGATGGAGACTAACAACAGAGAATCAAGAATGCCTAGGAATGAGAATGACTTAGAAATCCAGGTGTCACTCAAAATCAGGAGAATAATAGAAGAGAATTTAGAAAGAGAGTATAAAGTACAAACAAAACAAAACCTGTGCAGTAAGTCAGTCTAGTTGAGAAGGGTCACAGCTCTCAATATGATTTTTAATACTGCAGAAAGCACCCATATTTTCTGATTTACTTGAACTCATAATGCTTTGAACACACCTGTCATGAGGCTGTATTAAGGAATCGCGTACATGTGGAATAGGCATGTAAGGCTGTAAATCTTTGTTTTCCTGGCAGGCTTCATTATGACTTCGTAAAACATCTAAAAATAAATAAAATTTACAAAGGAATCAATCACTTGACATAATGTTGTAGTTTAATCACACAATGACTCTTGCAGAAATAGTTGAGATTCTTAGAAATAGTTGAGATTCTTAGAAATACCATACCTATAATCTTCACCACCATATCATACATCTGCCTTGTTTCTTCCTCTTCTTTTGTCCATCGATATTTCATGTAACGCAGAACGACACAAACCATCACTACACCTGTAATATTAATATACTTTGTGTTTTAAAAATTGTGGTCAATATCACTCAATAATATTACAGTGATTATTTTAACTGCCACAATGGAATGAATCTTCAAGACAGATGGCTGAATTAGCTATACGATTAAAACTACATAAAAAAATTTAATGCTGAACATTTTCCAAAGTTTCACTTCTTTCTAGAAAAAAGCATTTCTTCCATTACCTTGACAAGTGAACATTTAAATTCTAACTACTGTTTAAAAAAAATTAAATATAACTATGTTTCACAAACTTTTTTCCTTTGCAGCATAAAATGACTAGAAAAGTGAATCTCGTAAGACTAAACATACTAAATCTTATAAAAATCATCTTAAAAAAGAAAATGAATTTTTCTTTTGTTGTTGTTGTTTTTGAGATAGGGTCTTGCTCTGTCATCCAGGCTGGAGGGCAGTGGTACAATCATGGCTAACTGCAGCCTCCAACTCCTGGGCTCAAGAAATCCTCCTACCTCAGCTTCCCAAGTAGCTGGGACTACAGGCACATGCCACTATGCCTGTCTAATTTTTAAAATTTTTTGTAGAGGTAGGGTCTCGCTATGTTACCCAGGCTGGTCTTAAATTCCTGAGTGCAAGTAATCCTCCTGCCTCAGTCTCTCAAAGTGCTGCGATTACAGGTGTGAGCCACTAAAGCTGGCCAAAATGAATTATTTTTAAAGAAGAAAGAAAGAAATAATAAAAAAAAAAAACCTATCACCTAAATCCCTATTATCAATTTTAAAATGATAAAAATTTTAATTTAGGTAAATGACATTTTAAAAACTAAACATAATTTTAATAAACTTAATTTATAACACTATTATTTAAAAATAAGCTCAATTTTTATATTTTTCAATTCTACTTTCTAAAGTAGATTTCTATGTATACACTGACCACACTTGTTTTTTTTGTGACAGTCTTATGACAAAGTTTTATTCCTACCTCTCCTTATATTACTGTTTTCTAAGCCCTTAGAATGATCCTGACATTATTTTTATTATATTTAGAGAAGACATCTAGCTGTGACTTATGTGGCAACAATCACAAAAATGAATTCTCAACTCTGGCATTTAGTGAAATACACACAAAAATTCAGACTGCAATTTATCTCCTTTCTTACCTTTACAACTTACCTAAGCATAACAACAATAATCTGTGAGTTACAGTAACAAAAGCACGTCGAAAACGACACCAAAAAGACATCAGTGGTCTTGTGGACTGTAAAAACTGCACATCAGTTATATTTGTCAATTCTTCCTCAGGGCCAAAACCAACACACCTATGTAAAAATAAGTAAGGTAGAATTTAAAGTCAAAATCACTTCTCCCAGTACAAAATGGTCAAAGTGGAAATCAGATCCTTTACCTTATTCCAACATCTTTTCCATTTTCTAAGATCCACTGCAATGAAGTGTTAAATATACCTTCATATTCAGGACCTAAATCCTAACAACAAAAATAGAGAAAAATAACTATTCTTAATCTACATTCGACTCTCTGTAAGGTATCCCTTACACACTCTATATAACATTTTATTTTAACTACATAACATAAAATAGTCATTACTGAAAATTTAAAAAGAATGAGAAAAAAGAAAAAAAAAGTTAGCATTTTCCCACTACTCCAATATAATCAGTGTGAATATTTTGCTTTTTTTGTTTTTAATTTTACATATTTGGGAACTGAGTCTCTCTCACTCAGGCTGGAGTGCAGTGGAACAATCTCGGCTCACTGCAGCCTCTGCCTCCTGGGTGCAAGCGATTCTCCTGCCTCAGCCTCTCAAGTAGTTGGGATTACAAGCGTCAGCTACCAGGCCGGGCTAATTTTTTTTTTTTCTCTTTTCGTACTTTTGGAGAGACGAAGTTTCACCATGTTGGCCAGGTTGGACTTAAACTCCTGACCTCAAGTGATCCACCAGCCTTGGACTCCCAAAGTGCTGGGACTACAAGCATGAGCCACTGCGCAAGGCTTGGAAGTTCTTTATTATCATTAGTTTATCAGTGCCATCATAAGAGTGAATTCACCACTTTTTAAAATGCAATACTATTTACAAATGAACAAAGAAATGGCAAACTCTTCCAGATATGGGTGTTTCACACACATATTCTCAACACACAAAAGCAGTAAGCCTATCAACTAAAGAAAAACTGACTGGGTTACCAATTATAAGATTTGAGCATTCAAGTAAAAAGTAGAATTTTGAAAAACTAGCATTCATCTTTGTGATCTGGACAACTTCACAATACTTGAAGACCTTTCCAATGAGATTTGTGTAACATTCACAAATGCAGTTTTTTGATATGGAATAATGAAATGTGACCAATGCATTTGAAAAATTCTGATTTTTATAAAAACCAATCACGCATATAACATCATGCATAGGTAAAAGATCCATTCAAAGTACAAAATAAACAAAAGGATTTTATGAGACGAGAGTACAAAAAGTTCACTGATACAGTTTGACATTCCACATTGCAACTAACATTTAAGAAACTACTACTTATAGAGGTTTGGTATCATATCAAAGAAGAGTATCTATCTACAATTATCTGAAAAGGCAACTAAAATACTTCCCAATGTTTTGACTACATATCAATGTGAGGCTGGATTTTAATGACGTACTTTAACTAAAACATCATGACAGGGTGAATACAGAAGCAGATAAGAATCCAGTCTCCTTTTATTAAGCTACAAATTTAAGAGATTTATAAAATATATAACAATGCCACTGTTCTCATTGAATGTTTTCATTCTGGAAAAGTCACTTTTCATAAAAATACATTATGTTAACATATAATAGATTCATTTTTCTTATTCTAAATACATAAATTTTTTTCAGTTTTAATTTTTAATATAAACATGTATTTGTAATACATATGTACCATTAGAAAGTAAATATATCTTTCTAATATAAACAAAAACATATAAAAATGTATCTCCCACAAACAAAAGCCAGAGAGTCCTCAGTAATTACAGGGAACCAAAAAGTTAAAGAACTGCTCTGTGTGGGTAGAGTATTTTTAAATTAAAATAGTAAAAATAAATGTGGTATCATACTACACATACTATTGTTCTATTTGCTTTTTTTAATGGAACAAAATATTGTGTCAATGTCAGTATACATAGAAAAAATCCTATTTTTTCAACAAAATAGTATACCATTGTATGATTATTCTACACTTTTAATCAACCCCTTATTAATGAACATTTAGAGTATATCCAATTTTTAGAATTTATCAAATATAATACTGCTATAAACACCTTTACCATGTGCCAAGTACTATTTTAGAAACTAGAGGTGCAGCATAAACACCACAGTGAAAATTCCCTATGTTCATGGAGTTTGTATTATTAGTATGTCTTTATGTCCTTTTTAACCAAAAAATGAATTTATTTATTTATTTTTTTTCTGAGACGGAGTCTCACTCTGTCAACCAGGCTGGAGTGCAGTGGTGCGATCTTGCTTCACTGCAACCTCTGTCTCCAGGGCTCAAGCAGAGTCTTGTGCCTCAGTCTCCCAGGTAACTGGGCTATTACAGGCATGTGCCACCACACCCAGCTAATCACTGTATTTTTAGTAGTAGCAGAGACAGGGTTTCGCCCTGTCGGCCCGGCTGGTCTCAAACTGCTGGCCTCAAGTGATCTGCCTGCCTCGGCCTCCCAAAGTGCTGGAATTACAGGCGTGAGCCACCGTGCCTGGCTCATAGAGGAAAAAATGAATTTCTAAACACAGAAATAAAAAGTCATTAAAATCTCTCTTAAAAAGAGATTCTTCTAAGAAGTGCCCTATTGTATTTTATCAACAAATTCTTCAGCAGCATTGGAAATTGTAAGGTTTTCATTTGATCAGTATAGTTTACTTCCTAATATAAAACTGATCAAGTTATTCTAATGTATCAAATTTGCAAATGTAATACAAAGTTTTATAAAGCAGAACTAATCTTGTTAGGCACCGTTACATGAAACTACTATTGGGATTTTTAAGATAGTGAAGATAACTATAGGCCATCTGTCTTTTTAAGCTTGGGTGTTTATTATAGCATTTACAAATATCAAAAAAATTGCAGACAATGTATTTAATGATTGAAAAAAGGCTTATATATGAGATCATTTCAATGGATATTATGAACTTAGAAATAATCATGATGAGAGCTAAATAGCTATCTGCTTAAAAAAATAAAACTACTTTTAATTTATATATATAGTCATACCTCAGTATTCATGGAGGATTGGTTCCAGGATGCCCCATGGATACCAAAATCCACAGATGTTCAAGTTCCTGACATAAAATTGCATAGTATTTGCATATAACCTATGCACATCATTCTTATACTTTAAATCATTTCTAGATTACTTATAACACCTAATGTAACGTAAATGAATATAGACAGTTGTATTTTTTAAATCTGTATTTTTTCCACTGTATTTTTTTTCTTTTTATTCCCAAAAAGATTTTTGATCCACGGTTGGTTAAATCCGTGGGTGCAAAACCCATGTATACGTAGCGCCAATTGTATTTATAATTATAAAAATATATGTACTCATATGAGTAGCATAAGAATGAGGATACAAGTGATTTTTATTCGCTTTAATATTGTATTAAAATATGCAATAAAGTTACACAAAATAATGTCAGGCAATTAGTTTCAATTACTACTAGAAATCACTTTGTGTATAAATGAAAATCTACAAAGCAAGATTAATACAGGTTATCAGTGCAGCTGAAGACAGCATTATTGCATTTAGTTTTCTTTGTAATGTTGTCACTACCATACATTTTTAAAAAGGATTTTGTGTTCATTTGGTTCTTCAAAGACACAGATGTCACATAGTACCCTTGAAATACATGCATATATTAAAAATGAATGAAATAAATGTTGTATTTACTTGTACTTATATACATGCTGTTCAGCTTGTATTACTATGATTTGCCTAGTATCATGGCATGCTTTGCACTACTACATATACTACTGGACAAGTTTAATCTAGTCTTCGAAGACTAGACTATAAACATAAGTTTCAGATAACATAAAAACAAACTCCCAAGGTTATTAGTTGCAAATTTTAAATATAAAAATTTTAGGAGGCTGACATTATAAATATTACTGTTCTCATCAAATATCCCTTAAAAATTAACAAGGACACCCACAGATCTAAAAAGTTAAGTACGAGGAGGAATGAAGGCCTTAAACCTCTTAGTTACAAAATAACAAGGGTAAGAAAAGACGATCTGTTGTTATTTTCCCTTTTTCTGTTTTCCTTTCCCTTGTTAATATCACTTGACATCCACTCACTATCTGGAATACAACGAAACCACGGAATGTTCATTTTATGGGTACACATTCTCAATAAACAATTGATTATTTAAAACCTCATTAAGGATTTTTGATTATTTAAAACCTCATTAAGGATTTAATAGGCTGTTGAGGTCTAAAATATGCCATTATTTCCACAAATATATATATATAGCATTCTAGAGTATTAGAAAATGGAATTTTTATAAAAGCAAAAATTGAATTATTTGCTTGTGCCAAATAGTTGATGCTAATACTGTAGCATACATAGCATATACCTGATTTTAACAGTTTAAACTGTTTTATTATTCACTTTTTGTAGCCACCTGGAAAGCTGTGGGTACGGCAGGGGTTGGTCAACTTTTTCTTTTTTCCGTGAAGGGCCAGAGAGTAAACGCTTTAAGCTGTGCAGCCATATAAATTTCTTTCTTTTTTAAAACCAAGTTTTAAAACTGTTGTAAAACCACAGCTCACAAGCCATACAAAAACAGGCAGGCTGGATCTGGCCCATAAGCCATGGCTTGCTAACCTCTGAGGTAAGGCATTCCAGCATCATAAAACAAACATTTTCCAATAACTGATGACAAAAATCAGAAGGAAACTAAGTTTTTAATTTTTAAGGCACAACTTTTATTACTATTGTTTATTACTATTTACTTATAGGCAAGAGCTCAGTCAGTATACCACTGACTGCTTCATGTAAATCTTTCTAAATTTGAAGTATATTTTCCCAAATCTTAAATCTAACACATGTGTGTACTCATACATACCCCCATGACCTCTCCCAAATGTTATTTTCAAAATAACGGGTCAAAAATGTGTAAACCCACATCAGATGCTCTGAACTTGGACTACAGTTTCCAAGTACAAAAATAATACTGTTTCATTAAATAAGGCAACAAAACTTTAGTTAGTAAGAAGGGAAAAAGGCACTGGTATAGGCAGAAATCAAGCAAGGACTAAAAACCTACTATGGATAGTTTATGAAACTGATAATTTACATAGTAACAGCTATGCAGCTTTCCAGCTGGTGAATATTCTAGTGAACTGTGAGATGATATACACTATACATCAGATGGCACCTTTTAAACTTAATTAAAATATAACACACAAAAATCCACAATGCTGAATAGGATATCACTCCTGATTCAG